AGGTCTAAGACAGAGTACCTGGAATGCAAGTTTAGCGCTGAGTCGAGGGATGTAGGCGGGGACGTGAGGGTTGGGCCACAGGTCATCCCCAAGAGAGATAGCTTCAAATACCTTGGGTCGATGATTCAGGGGGACGGAGAGATCGACGAGGACGTCACTCACCGCATAGGGGCGGGCTGGATGAAATGGAGGCTTGCATCTGGAGTCTTGTGTGACAAGAAAGTGCCACCGATACTCAAAGGTAAGTATTATAGAGCTGTAGTTAGACCGGCCATGTTGTATGGGGCAGAGTGTTGGCCGGTTAAGAACTCCCATATCCAGAGGATAANAGATGCGGATGCTGAGGTGGATGTGCGGGCACACTAGGATAGACAAGATTAGGAATGAAGATATTCAGAAGAAGGTGGGCGTCGCCCTTGTGGATGACACGATGCGGGAAGCGAGACTTAGATGGTTCGGGCACGTGCAGAGGAGAAGCCTCGATGCACCGGTGAGGAGGTGTGAGCGGTNTCATCTTTCGGTTTTTATGTGTATGTTACTATTATGGTTTCTATTGGAGTTACTAATGAATTCTCTCCTCTTGTTTTTTTTTTACTTTATTTTCGTCTTTCTGAGCCGAGGGTCTATCAGTAACAGCCTCTCGGCCCCTATCGGGGCAGGTGTAAGGTCTGCGTACACATTACCCTCCTCAGACCCCACTATGTGGGATTTTATTGAGTAGTTGTTGTTGTTGCTGCCTTTGAGGAAGAAAGTGTTGCTTAATGTCGTTCTCCACTTATTGGACATGTCTATCACAAGAATGCTAGGTCCTTACTTTCAAGGCAATGTGTTCATGTTTACACATGTCATGTGTATGTGCAGGTTGTGGTTTGGAGAGAGGGAAGAATTTGTGACTTGGAGTGAGGGGGAGAGGAGCGATATGCATCTGCATATGAAGGGAAAAAGAATAGTTAGGGGCGAGGGGTTGCAAAATGAAGCTTTTTGTCTTTGCTGTTCTTCAACTTTATGTTTTCTTTATGTTAAACACAAGGACTCGACCCTTCTAGATATTTGCAAGATTATTTGGATAACTGGATTCTGCTTTAGAGTCATTTGGTATTGGCTAGCTTTTAAGCATTATCCATCTGACTCAGGCATCATATTTTAGAACATCTGATCTTGGATAATTGATTGAAGAAGGAACAATGAATTGCTAAACAGAAGTACTAGTTATCCTTGTCAAACAGAAAAGAAAAAAAGTGCTGTCCTCCAGAATGTGAAGCTAGTAGATTGTTTCTTCTCTATTACTCCATCTTTGTGTTGGAGAAAAGTTAAAGGAAAGCACTTTATCTTTGGGTTGGAAGCAAGGTAAAGGGAGACACTGGCACCCTGGGAGATTTTTGAGCACTATGTTGCTTAATGTGTATTGGCTCTAATAGTATCGAGGGAGAAGAACAATATACTGAAGAAAGAACCATTTTCCTTTTAGAATTATCGATGATATTCCTTTATGTTTTAATGATCAAAATATAGGCACTGATCTAGCTAGGCTACCAATTTAAATATATTGTACAAGGACTAGATATTCTCTAGAATTAAGTAGGTTATGTACCTCATGGAAATAAGATGTCCTACTGGCGATGTAAGAGGTTCCAACTGAAACGGCCCTAGCCCCTAGGCTGCTTTCTTCATTGTGGTTGAATGTTTGCATTCTTTCATATTGAATTAAACGTAAGTTTAGTGAACTCCTTTGCTATTCAGAAGTCTGATGCAACCATTCGCTCTCTAATTTTGGCTCAATTTTATATTTTATCTGCATTTCGCTCACTCGGGGTTTTTCTCTTGTCTCAACCATCAGAGCAATATTTTTGCTTCAAGCTCATTTCTCATCCTACTTAAACCTACTCTGCTTGCTTCGGGCCCATTATTTTTGTTGAGTTTCTTGAACTCCTCAAAAATCAACCCTATTGAGCACCCAAAAAGCTTGAAGAGAAAAAGAGAACAAAAATATTTACTTCAGTTGCAAAGCCAAATTGAATTATACATGCCAGAGGATGTTAGAGACATCAATTGTACATGAGTTTCTTCCAGGGTTTTATCGTGGTCTTGAGATAAGTTTTGGGTTGTATATCTCTAAACTTTTCGGTTTTTCTTTGGTCTATTTTGGTCTTTTTCTTTNGTCTTGAGATAAGTTTTGGGGTTGTATATCTGTAAAGTTTTCAGTTTTTTTTTTTGGGTCTATTTTGGTCTTTTTCTTTGATCTACTTATCTTCACTATAAATTTACTTTAGGGTTTGTGATTGATTTGTCAATTTACAGGAAAACAGATATGCAGTTATGGATGTCTGTTACCCACAGTCAGTAAGTAACCTCTAACGCCTTCTAGTTCTAACTTCTAAGACTGCAGTTCACTGCTTGCATGGAATGTTTGATCTAACAAGTTCGCCCTCTTTAATCAATTAGTTCTTACTTGTATATTGTCTTTCTAGCCTGTAGGTTTTATTCGTGAACAAAGTAACGTCCTTGCCAGACAGGTACTTCCAGTTCTTCGTTTTGCTCTCTATTTTGACTTATTTGTCATATTTAGCTTTTTGCTCAAAAATATCTTTTATTTCTATTCTCGTTTGGGTTCCAATGAGGATGTGAAGAATGTTCTTAATTCAATGATTAGGCAGTATTGTAGAGTAATGCAAAGGAGAAGCTAACTGCATATCTTTATGAACATATATCATGTACGTTGTTTTCACATGGCTTTACTTCACTGACATGGTCAATCAATATCTTTATTGTAGTTTCTAGTTGATGAATATGCATGCAATGCATCCTTAATCAACTTTAACTTTTTGAATATCCTATACCATGTCTCTGATATTGGTTAAATGAGATTGAGAAGTCTAAGCAGGATCAAATTGTTTAGGTATAGGTCTACCTGCATGAATTTGGAGGACAAAAGAATTGGTGTCATTAATTTTATTTTCCTCTCAATGGCCAAAGATTGTAGAGGCTGAGTGATTGTGTTTAGATGATTGACATGGTTCAAGCTTTAATTGTAAATGCATCTGTAGCTCTATGAACCTATACCAGATATCCTGTGGTTAGAGGAGAGTAGCATGCATTAAATGTTGGTCACTTTGAGGTTGAGAAGTATACGAAGAAGTGAATAGTCTAAATAGAAGTTTATGGATTTAGCTTCAGTAAACGACATTGTTGTCAAAGGCGCGCTTAAAGCACGCGTATGCCTTGAAGCGAGGCTCAAAACATGTTGCGCCTCGCTTAGCGGACGCCTCTGTGGTGCAATCAGGGCTCTAAGGCATACTTTTTCTTGCCAATGAGCATAACCTGAAGTGGCGACACGAAACAATTGATATATCACTTTATTGTAATTGTTTTTTTTTTGTCTATATATTTGTTAGTCATGCTTATAATCATTAGTCTTGGACTACACATATATATATTTATACTTTTTCTCCCTTGCGCCTTTTTCCATTAAAGCCCACACTTTATTTGCGCTTTGCGCTTAAATCCCCAATGGACCTTCGAGCTTTTTTGCTCTTTCGCCTTTGATAACACTGGTAAACGGGAGGGGGAGGGCTGCAACAGGGAGTAGTGATGGTGATTCTGCCTGTACAAATCGTGTCTGGGGTATATGACAATGCAAGTTGCAGCTCTTTGAAGTTGAAAGCTCGATATTGAAAAGTGTTAGATATTTATACATTATATGGAGATCAACAAAAACTGGTCATTTATGTAGTTGGTCTTCTTTCATGTTGGTAGATGGTTGGCTGATCTACAGATGCATATCCACCCTCATTTGTAGGACGGCGTTACTGATGTTATTATCTTCTTCAATGTCTTAGAGAATATGATTAACTTAGCAGTATGTGCTGAAGGCTGCAAAATGGGAAGTGACAGAAATTCTGCATGTGGAGAGTGGAATAGGAGATCTTGAATATGAAAGATTGATATTGAATGGTGGCGGCATATTAGGCTAGATATTATACAAGGGTTCCTTTACATTGTTGGTATTTCTCCTGTTGTTGGCTAGTATAATGCATTCCCCTATATATAATCATGGAGAAAGGTATCTTCATCAAATTCTAATCTCATCATGTGGAAAAGGAATATGATCATTGCCTACACCATTCAATAAGAGCCAGAATGTGACATTTTACCAGTTCATGGTCTTCACTCCTGTCTAGATATTCTTACAGTTCATGATGTGCCATTCATGAATGTATTTTCTGACTTCTGTGCACATATATTTCACTTAAATGTTCTCCTCTGTCAACCTATGCAAAAAAAGGAAAGAATGAAAAGATACTCTTAAAGTTGAAAGATGCTTGGAGTTGTCATGCGTTAGACTCAGTGCACTTGTGTGTTTGTTCTCTAAGCTGCACTGCGGGAGTGGAATAATGATAAACTAAGAAGTTCTCTAACCTGAGGTCAATAACCAATAATATGGCTGATGAGTTACCCTGAATGAAGAAATATCGTTTGTTCAATATCTTAAAAAGTTTGGAAAAAATTTGATAGTGGTGAACTATTGCTTATCAACTGTGCGCATGAAATTTGATATAAAGCAGAGAACTACATGCATAATAAACATTTCATTAGTTTTACTGGAGTCAATGCATATCCCTCTTGTTTAATCTTTCCAGTTTTTCCTGTCTTGCCATGCACGAGTTTTTCGGTTCATCATTTTTGAAGTGCTCTCTGTCAGAGGACTGAATAACACATTCCAAATTTAGGCTGGGCAAGAAGTTTGTGAACGATATTTTGAAACCTGATAATCTTCTTGTATGTCAATCTATGACAGATATGCGTACTGTCTTCCAGTGAGAAGTTATTAAAACAGAGAGGAGATAGAGAGAGAGAGAGGCAGAGACTCCTCACTTGCTTTAGGCTCCAGAGAAATTGAACTACGTTGAAAATGTTGGAACTCTTTCTACGCTGTTAATGATATTATACATCTGATTAAAGCTGATCAATTAGGTGTATATCTTTGTTTCTCTCCGAGGGTGGGGCAAGAAGTCACGACATTCTATCTTAAAACTAAGGGTTTAGCACTTCGCCATCTAAGCGCTATACCCATTCTATTTGCCTATTTGGCCAAGCTTCTACAATCAGCTTATTTTGAAAAGTGTTTTTCTCAAAAGTGCTTTTTTTAAAAAAGTACTCTTGGTGAGAAACAATTTGTGTTTGGTTAATTAATGTGAAAAGTATTTTTGAGCAGCAATTAGTGTTTGGCCAAGCTGTTAAAAAGTGCTTATAAGTGTATTTTTCTCAAAAGTGCTTTTGGGAAGAAGCTATTTTTTTCCTGCTTCTCAGAAACTGCTTCTACTCAAAAATACCCTTTTTTCCTTCTAGACGCTTGGCCAAATACCTTAATTTTGGGGAAAAATACTTTTGCCCAAAAAGAAGCTTGGCTAAATAGGCAATATGTTCTTGAAGGGGATCATGGGTTTGACTCTACTCATCAGTCCTAGTATTAGTTAGGATAAGTTGGTTTTAATACACTTGTGATGGCTACATGAGTGAACTTTAGGAGACACTTGGTTGCTGTTTGATGCGTCATGTTCTTGGTTCTATCCTCTGTTAATTGGTCATGTACACTTAGAGATTTCATCAATGAGTATTGTTCTTTACCTATCAAAAGAGATAAAAGAGAGAAGAAAGCATCAATAGATGGGTGCTAAAAAAGGTATTGCGTCTACTAAGAAAAAAGGAAGAGAGATGCTCTTCCCTCTCTCTAACTTTCCAGTCTTTGGGAGACTGGAAAATCCCCTCATAATCTTCGCATTCCCTTCTCCACCCTCTTACCACTACTGTTCCACTCTTCCACTTCTATTTTTCACTCTTTTTCATCTTCTACAACGCACATTTTCTTATCTTTCTTTCTAAATCTTTTTTGTACGGGCTTTCAGGTCATCTTCAAGTTTGATCATCTACAAGCTGTAATCTTTTTTCTTTTTCTTGTGGAACACATGCCTTTGTTTGTGTGGACAACAAATCTTTTGAGGTGATAGAGAACATCACCGAAAAAGAATGCAGGTATGAATGGATTAAATGCAAGCCCAGATTTGTTAGTTGAATTTTCGTCAACAAGGTTTCTGATCTGGCTTTGTCAAGTCATGTATGTTGCTTGGTACTAAGAGCCACTGAAACATTTGTAGCAGATGGTAGCTGCACAATCATTATGTTACCCCAGAATTTCGACGTTTATGGTAGATTTCTGCGTATCGTCACTTCTTAGGGGAGAAGTTGGAGTGCAATTACTGTTTCAGAATTTCAAAGAACTCTGGGTGGTCTGTTATTACAGATAAGCTATGGAATTTCATAGAAAAATCTCCCAATTTAGAGACTCTATCTAAGCCTAAAAGTTGCGCAGAAGTTACCAGATTGAGAAAATGATCTCTAGACTCTGTTCGTGCCAGTAAAACAAAAGACCAGGAAACCAATAGAATTCTCATTAATGAAGCCTTCACTTTGTTCAGGAAAGAATTTTTCAAAAGGTGTTTAGTAGGGAGCTTTATGACATGCCAATCCCTGCCTTATTAAATGATGTGATGCTTTGAGTTCGTAATAGATGGAGGATAGAAGTTGTGTAAAAGAACACTTTGGTGGTCTTTTCCTGATTGAATTTCCCTTAGTTTACATGACGATGTCAATTTTAAAGTCTAACTGGGTTTAGAGGGGCATGTCTTGCTTCTGTTTTGATCAGACTTCGAATATTTGCTTTTCCAAGGGAAAAAAAGGTCCTTTCTTCCACTTGGATCAGACTCATGGAATTACCTCTTCATTTGTGGTCTGAAAATCTCTTCCAAGAAGTTGGAAGTTTTTTGGGAAGACTTGTTGACTTAGATAGATAGAAGTAAATCTGAAAAGGCAAGGATTTGTATCCGAAACCCACCCTCTAAGATACCCAGGTTTCCTGAATTCATCTCTAATGAAAATTTTGGTGCATTCTAGTGTGGGTGGAAAAGCATTTTTCTTATGGTTCGGCAAATGTGGTTCTGTGAAGAAGAAAGCTAAAGTGGTGATTTTGTTCGGAGCGGATCTTTCCATGGTCTATCAACAAATGTAATAGCTCCCCCCCCCCGGTAGGGGGTGGGGGTGGGGAAGAACCCATCAGGCGTGGAGGATTTTCAAATTTCAAAATTTCGTGGGTCAGTCATCTCTCAAATACCTGATATTACTCCAAGTTATGTTTCTAACCCTCAAAGCATTTCTCTCACTTAAATTTTCACTTACTGAAATATCCATATGCTATTTCTTTTGGCTCATTCAACCCTTCCCTCACGCTCTCTCAGTTACTTTCAGAAAACCCCACTTCTATAATGTCACCCGAATCAGGCCCGACTTAAAAAATCAGCCCTCTTAATCGAAAGAGGGGTTTTCAACTCTGCTGTAGATGCATTTTGTGTGAAGAGCCAAAAGAGGATGTTTATCATCTTTTAACGCATTGTAATATCACTCGGCAGATATTGAACGTGTTTTTAGCAATACTTGGCATCACTTGAACAATGCCTGAATCCACCTGTGACTTACTACTTTGTTGGAAAAGACACAGCCTAAGCTACCCTTCTGTAAAACTTGCAACTCCAATCCCCTTGCCATCTGGTGGACTTTATGGATTGGAAAATTTTTTTTTTGAAGGCAAAAATAGAAACATACTTAGCCTTAAACATAGTTGCATTTCTTTTTTAGCTTTCTGGTGCAACCTTACATGATGTAGATTTTAATGATTTATCCGACAGGGGAATTGCACTCTCTGTTACTACCTTTTCTAGCACTGGCTCAGTGCAGGTTGCATTTAAAAAAGTTTCCCCATTACTTGTCCCAAAAAGGGACCCAAAAAAAGTATCAATAGATGAAAGAGCTTTTGAGAACCTGGCATTTGCTACAGGTTTCGCAAGTGAAGCTGCATCTTGTTGCATTAATTGTACACTAATACCTTAAACTGGCAGCAAGCTGATTTTTTCTTTTTTTTTTTTCTTTATTAGAGTGTTCCAGAAATTTTATTATTTTAGTATCTCTTCACCTAAATGTGTTGTTTTTCTTTATTGTAGTTTCTTCGTACAAGGCGTCCATTTGTGGCTTGCATAACTGACGGCCTGGGTAATGAGCTCTTTAGGGTAAGAAATTCAAAACAGGGGTTTTCTATTGTTCATTGAGCTATTCAGTTAGCTCTAGTTTCAGAATATATGTATACCCGAATATATACTTTAGCCATCTTCTCTTGTCGAATAAGGTTCGGAGGCCCTTTTGGTGGATCAACAGCTCAATTTACGGAGAGATAAATGGAAAAGTATGCACTTCTACAATCCATTCTGGTGAATTGTCATTTTTTACTTCATATATTCCAATAGTTTTAAGGTCTTGCTGTAAATGTTTCCAGGAGGTTGGTGTTGTCCACAGAAGATGGCATCTCTGGAAGAGAATTTATGATTTGTACTTGGGGTAATCTTCTTTTCCAGTATTTCCACGTATTCATGTTAGTCACATATTTATCTTTCTCTGTCAAATCTCTTGTTTCGAGGGGTTGTATGATTCGAAGATCGAATTAGGTGGAGACGGTAACAATGATTTTACTAAGGGATTGTAAATTGGTAGAATAACTTGCATGGTTCATTAATTGAGAGTGGATTTAAGTTGGATTAAGGTTTTTAACATGTAAATTGAAGTCAGTTGGGTTCATAAAGCTGAAAATATTCTAATTTCACATTCTACAATGTGAAAGAAAAAAAAGTTCAAGTTTCATGGGTGGTATGGTAGTATCAAGTTCTTGAAATTTATCACATCTCCTGGTTTTTCTATAAAAAGGAGAGATGGTCGACAAGAAGGGAGCAACCTTTGGGCTTTACCTTATTATCGGGTAACATTTTCTTCTAGAACTTGTTAAATCATACTAGGTAATAGACATTTTACATCAGACACCTCCTTTTTCAAATAAATATCGTGCTTTTCATCTATAGCCATCGCAAATCCATGTTCACTTTGCTAATATGAAATATCTTGTTACTTATTTTCTACGAAGAAAAGTTTTTTTATTCCACCTTTTGCACTTCCGTCTAAATTAACCAAATTTAACCCTTACTTTGGATCCATTCATAAAAATTAGTATGCAATTCGAACCGTAATTTAGTAAATATGGAGAGTCAGTTAAATCCTGAAAATTATTTAAAACTTGAACCAGGATATTGCTTGAGATGAATTATGATTTAGGCTGTCGACTTGAGAGAACTAGTAAAGATTTTTGAAGTTTCTATCTTAAACTTAGTTAATAGGTAGCTGGAACTAGGTAGCAGTTGAATTCAATAGCTATGACCGGGCTTCTATGGTAAATGTCTACTGGTGCTTGTTGGTAAGATGGTAGACAGATACAATCGAATGCAGGAAGGAGACTGTGAGAATGCACGGGAGAAAAATCTATATTATTGATTTTCTAAAGTGTTGTACAACGCCCTATTTATATACAGTGATTACATAATAATAGTATCTACTTCCTGATGTGGGANTGTCTTTTCGATATGTGTCTCTTCTGCTGCATAATCAGATTTCAGTTCATGGTGGACCTGAAAACATTTTTGTGAACTGTTTTGGGCCTGTTGGAATACTACCTCAGCTTCCATCATTTTTTATGACGAAGAATTAATGTTTGTTGTTTGTATGACAGATTTTCACTGATGCTGGCCAGTATGTGATTCGGTTCGGGAATGCATATTCTAGTATTTGTCCTATTACAGGGGTAAAGCAC